TTTTTACACAAAAAACTACTGTAGTAATAAACTGCTGTTTAACAAACTTAATGCAAATTATAGTAATTTACAACAAAAACTTTTCTAAATACTGTTTTAAAATCATACAAACAATTTAGTCCTTGATATTAAAACTTATCAAACTTTTTTTTGCAAAGTTTGTAAAAATGATAAGCAATTATAAGTTAGTTTTGTGCACAATGTTACTCTGAAATTAAGCACTTATTTATTATAAATACCCTGTATATTAATTATAAAATGTATACCAATTATAACAGAATAACGGATCAAACAAACCCTGAGCCGATGTTCATAATCGCTAAGCAATCGGATATTCCGGACACTAATATGAGAACACTGTTTGCCATACAAAACGCCAAAATGGCAAATGATGTCCATGATGATCGCATTAAATGGGTCAATTTAGGTCTCATGAAGTTTGAAAAATTGTTTTCGAACACAGCAGTAGCCCTGTTCACTTTTGTATCGGGTGCCGGTCCGGATATAAAGAATGTGTACCCGTGGACAACGGGTAATAACTTAAAAACTTTACCAAGGTCTACAGAGACCACAGAAAGCCTGGATTTTGAAAACGTTTTGGCCCATGGAATCGGTTTATTTAATAATAGGTAAATAAATACTTTTTATAAATATAAACTTTGTAAAAAGTTCTGTAGTATACATTTATCCAAAAATTTTAATTTCATCTAAATATTAAAGTTAAGTATGTGACTAATATTAGCATCCATATGAATAGGGACAATGGGGGCACATTTATCAAGTGATCGGTGGACTCGGGATCAAGACATCTAATAGTGTGGAGAAAGTGGACAAACTGGCCGTACAGTTGAGGGATAAGGGCATCAAATTGAATATAATTGTCTTCCCCTTTGATTCACACGAGAACAGAGTGATCGCGTCTCCGCTCTTCCAAACGGCCGCTTCCGTGACGAGTGGACGGGTAGTCTACGTGCGCGAAGACTCATCGGCCGTTCGCACGGCCCACCAATTTGTCAAAGCCTTCGGTGCTCTCAGCGATGATTACCAGATAATCGATGAGAAATATGTAGAAAATTCCGGGGATAATAAAATAGACTTCGAGATCAATGTCGACAGTACTCTGAAGGGAAAGACAGTGCGAGTATATTTTATGCGGACAAACACTGGCGCGACAGAGTACACTGTCAAATGTCAAACTACAAGTACCCACGGGTAGACCCATTGAAATGAACTTTATATCAATCAACAATTATTTCGAGGGCTGTGTCTTCACCACCACATCCGATGACTTGTCAGGCAAATGGCATCTGACAGCCACTCGCGATGTGAGCAAATCTGAATCGGTGGTCGCTGTGGTAGAAGTTGTCACCAATTCAGTGGATGACGAGTCCATTACAGTCCAGTGTTGGCTCAATACGCAAGTGTTTAATCCGAAGACCGACACTAATAGGCCGGTCATGGCTTACGTCAACATTCATAGACAACTGGACGAACTCATAGCCAATGTTTCGGTCAAATTGAGTGTTATATACGAAGCAAAGGGAAGTCAACCGAAAGTTATCGATATGTATGACGACGGGTCGGGCGCACCGGACATCACGAAAGGGGACGGAATATTCTCCAACTATATCACAGACATAGAAAATCAGGGCTACTATACCGTGAGCGCTGACATTGCAAACATAGAAAGTACGGTAGACTTCACCACAAACTTTGGCAGCACTTCTCTGCCCAAGACGTCCAGTGATACGGCCTGTTGTGGCTCACGAGTGGACGGGAAGCTCGACTCCATTACAC